TATTAGACTGATTTTGAAGGATCATGTGACACTGAAGACTGGATTAATGATGCTGAAAATACAGCTTTGATCACAGGAATAAATTACATTTTAACAAAAATTGCCATAGAAAACAGATATTTTAAATTTTTATATTATTTCAGTGTTTTTACAGTATTTTTGATCATATAAATGAAGCCATTGGTGGACAGAAAAGACTCTTTCAAAAACAATCTTCAATTGTTAATTGTTCATTTATTATTTTTGTATAGACCTTGATTAGCCAGTTTAGGATGTTTGAAAAGTCGGTCTCTGGAAATAGGGTTTAATTCTCCTTAAAATTAAGACCCCTTTAAACTAGGTGTTAGAAGGATTTTTTTTAATGCAACCAAAAACCATAAAGTTACTTCCCCCGAAAAGAGGAGGAAAATAATTAAATAAAATAATAAATTCTGCCGCCGAGTGAGTGCTTAGACAGAAAAGCATCATCTACAGCCATCACTTATTGGTAGAAGCATTTCAGACACAGGAATCTTTATATCATCAGTGTTTCTATGGCAACAGAGATTATGTCAATGTCATTTTGAGACACCATCGAATAATTGATTTAATGTCATTTTTCTGGGTTTTGTTATATTTGTAGAAAGATAATCCCTCTCGGCACACGCCGCCCACTCACAGCATCTCCGCTGTCCTTCACTTCACAAGCGCTGAGGCTTCTGTCTTTCACACGCATAACAAGTCAAACCAGATAGCCACAATAATGAATGCAGGGAATTGGTTTTATCCATCAGGAACAGATTGGATTGTGAACATTTGCCATTTCAAATAACATAATGGAGTTGGAGGGGAGAGATCACAAAGTAAGAAGGATTGTGACGAAAACATCTTTGCACTCCTTTGTGGTTTGTTTCGCGCAGCCCATCTAACTAAAGTATCTTATGATTAGTGTTATTTACAGTATAGCCTACTATTATAGTATTTATTCATATTTTGAATTAGCTTTACTTTTATGTTTTCAGTTTTCATTTAAATTTTAGTTTCGTTAGTAATTTTTTTTATGCGTTTCTTTATACTTTTTGCTTTTTTAATCTAGAGAAAAGCTCTATTTAGCTTTAATTATTTCATTTATTTTTAGTAATTTTGGTACTTAGAAATGTTAGAAATTAGAAATGGTGCCTTCTTGGCAACAAACTCAGTTAAATAATTAAATAACACGGGGTTCTTCAGACCCTTTCTAAAACCCTAGAATTCACAGCCTTTAATGCGACTCCATCAGACTGAGTCACTCTCTCACACCAGTTCAAGCGGCTCTTCCCACGCGCGAGTGTGTGTGTGTTTGTGTGCGGGAAGTTAAAGAGGAATTCAAGAAGCTGATGTCCTTATGAATGACTTCTGTATTTAAATTACAAAAATTGTGTGTGTGTTTGTGTTCGTGACTCGTTTGAACTTAAGTGTTTGACGATTTTACAGTTGCTTGTCTTAATCTGTGTGTGTACTCTTGCATGTGCGTGAGGACTCAATTACACACTTGAGCCTCTGATTACTCGTCATTACGCCTTTAAGAGCGATTGGGAGGGGTTGCCATAGTAACCTGACCCCAGAAGCCTTTGAACAATTACTCTTGTACTTTCGAAGAAGCATTTAGGAAGCTTTCCAGCATCTGAGCGTAATTTATTACAAGCCTACACTCCGCGGTCTCAATCATGCTAATTCTATAATTAACAAGCATAATGTTATTAGCAGCATTCCGGCGCTGTTGCTGCATCTCTGAGCGTTTGGATGAACAAGCATCGCTCAACTGAACCGACTCACTGTTTGATCACATGATTCACATTTGACAACGGTTTGGTTTTGCATGATCTTATATAGATGCATTTGTTGGTTTGATCATTTATAACTGCTTGGGTGATTAACAAAAAGTTCCAAGAGTCTTGCTTCTAAAATAAAATAATGAATAAAATAATGGTGTTTTTTTTTTATATATAGGCCTATATAAAAATTATAATATGCTTAATTCAATTGTATTTTTTGTCACACCTTTTGCATTTTTTTTACACTCAAAAAAAGTTTAAAAAACAATTCCATCAAATTTAATTGAATAATCCTTAGGCTACATATTGTGAATAATAATAATTTTAAAAAAAAATAGAGCTAATAAAACATTTAGTAAAAATCTTAAAAAGAAAATAATAATTTCCACATAAACTAAATGGTCCATTCTCTTTTACCATTAAGATTTATAGAGTAGTTGTACTTTGGAAAGTCAATTTCTGTTCAGACACATATACTTTTAAGTCTTTTAAAGTATCATTATTGCTTATAGGAAAAACATAAAAAGTTCATTTAACATGAATCACAATGGGAAGCTGCATTAAATAGCATATTATAGGCTTTTAATGGCTTTACTGCTAAATTTAACGGTAAGAAAAATAAAAAAAGTCATGAAACAGCAAATCTCAGACACCACGTCATAGGCCAAACATTGTTTTGGCCAACAGATGATGCAATTAATAATTGTATGAATTCTAAAATGTTTGTGACAACCTACAGCTCGACCTTTCTGCTATGGATCACCCTTCATTAATATAACCTTGTATTTCAGAGTAGCCTATTTCATAGTCACAGAGCTCTTTTTACAGATACACAAATGTATATGAAAACATATGTCTGCATTGCACCAGCCCTCAAAGGCTTATGGCTTCACTTTTTGCTTTTGCTGGGGAACATTTGAAAGCTGGTTATGTTTAGCGTGGGCTTAATATTCAGCCTATTGTTTATTTGTTTTTTAGATGTTTGCATATGAATATGTGAGCAGATTTTCCGCTGTAATCCATCTTTTGGTAGGCTCACTAAATGCCACAGTCATTAAAGAGAAATACTAAACACTGTGAGAGAAGATTACCTGAGCTGTAGTTGGTCAAAGTGATGCTAACTAACTCGCCTAAACCAGCCTAGACTAGCGTGGGAATGCACGTTCTTCCTCTCAGAAGTCTCTAGGCCTATGTGCAATTCAGACAGATAGCTTATAAAGAGAGATTTGCGAGAAAGGCTATCTGTTTTGTGATAAACCTCACAGGAAACTGCCGGAGTGGTTTTACCTTTTTAATGGCCGTTAATCCCGCGCGCAGTTGGCGGGCACTTAATCCCGCGCGAAACCCAAAGCCACTTTGGCTAAAAAGCCCCATGCTGTAAACCTGCCACCGCTTTATCCACTCGTGCCCGCTCATACGAGGAGGATACACGGTTAGGCAACGACAAGTGTTACACATGAGATATAAATCTGACATTCGCGTCGTTTCGGGTTTTAAACGGTCACGGGAAAACGAGCGGGAAAATGAAGCGGCGGTTGTGCGCGATCCCGCTGAGAATCTACGGTTGCCATGGTGAAAAGTGGATTAATCGAAGTGACGCTTTCAACCAGATCGAGTGGTATTCGCAACATCAAGCTGACTTGAAATAGACCCCAGAAAATAAATTTGCTGGTAAGATGAGTCACTTAATTCAAACGTTTGCTTTAGTTTATAGCATTATTGTAGCTGTATTGCATAGGTTATGTATTTTCACGTCACGCGTCAATGGAGTATTGTTCCTTTCAGGCATAACTAAAAATGTGTGTGTGTGTGTGTGTGTGTGTGTGTGTGTGTGTGTGTGTGTGTGTGTGCGCGTGTGCGTGTGTGTGTGTGTGTCGACAGAATTTTTATTTTTTATTCATACTTTGGCAGGGCAAGTAATTAAGTTGAATTATATGTTTATTATTGGTCTTGGTAATTATCTTATATGACATCAAATTTTGCATTGCCTAGCTTTAGTGAATATTATCGAAACCAAATAACACAGTATTTTTTTGTTTATTTCACACATTAGACCACCTTTTTGGAATCCCATCACTATTCCTGCCAGTTAAAATTTAACCCTTTTTTTATGTTATTGTCTCCTGAGAAAATCTGATAATGTGCATATTTTAAACCTAACGTCCAACGCAAAAGAAGAAATTGAGAAAACACCCCATGGTTCTTCAAAACATCTTCTTTTATGTTCCACATAAGCAAGTAAATCATTTGGAGATGAAGATGAGTAAACAATGACAAAATGCTCATTTCTGGTTGAACTATCCCTTTAATTTTGAGCAACAAAATTCAGTTCATTTTCCATCACATTATACATTCACATAGGTGTTAATTCAGCCTGTATCTGATCTTTCCATCTTTAAATCCACTGGATTAATCAAACACCATCCCTTAGACTTTCAGTCTCGAGTAGCCTACTAAAGTGCCACAAGGTGGTGGTCTTCTGCTGGTCGGTGTCTGTTTGAGGCGGGGTACCCCAAGGGACTGGTATGGGGCCCCTCACATTTTAAAAGCATTTGTGGTGCTCCCATAAATGAAGCCCCAAAACAAAATAAAAAAACAACAACAACAACAACAAAAAAAAGATGATTGGATATTGACAACATTATCATTCAAATGCAGACACCCTGTTCAACACCTGCGCTCGAGCTTTCAAAAACAGCAGAAAAGCATCTACAATCATTTACCCCTTCAAATCTCACTTTTAAACATGCAATGATGAAATAATCAGCAGTTGTCGTTATTTAGAGGAGAAGCTCGGGTTTGCAGGTGCCACGGCCGGCTGGATGCAGCCAGTCTCGGGGTTCACGGGTGGGAGGGGTTGAGTCGCGGACTGGGATGTGTGTGCCTGATCGCGCTTCGGCAGTGTTAGTGCGTGACAAGAAGACGAGACGACACCTCAGCTGTGGCTCTCCGGTGCCCCGCCGTTTACCGGGCTACCGACCCCCAAATCTCCGACGGATCACCTGTGGGAAGCACGCGCATCATCCGTAACCTTAGTGAATGGAGGCGCGGGGCAGGTAAGAAGGACCGTCACCAAAACATCAACCTGTGCGCGGACATACACTTTCCTCGTGAGTTTGGGTCTGTGGAAGCAATGATGTTCTGGAATTAGGAGCGCTCTCTCTCTCTCGCTCCCTCTCTCTCTCTCTCTCTGCAGATTATCGACCGAGCGCGAGCATCTCAGTTAAATGGGTAACAGCATGACTTATTGGGAATCAATTACGTGCTATTTCATGTGCATTGCACATGTACGCAGTTCTATGTGACTTATTGAGTATGGCATATTTGCAGTGTTAAATATGCAAGATCTATCGGACCCTTTAAAGACTGAGGTGTTGTTTATGAGATGTATTTGACTGTGAGCACATGGAGTGCTCTGGCCACTGCAGTGTGATGCGTTTCAGCACCGCGGACAGCGCGAGCTCCCGTTCACCCGGTTATCAACGGCAAGGTCGTTCGTTCTCATCCGTCCCGTTTTGAGTGGAGCTTTCTGACCAATCAGCCCGACATTTGCATTCATTTGAATGAAGTGAGCATTGAATGCCAGCATGATTTCAACGCGAATGCCTTACTGACGAGGTTTTTGATTGCAGTTTTGTTTCCCCTGCTATTGTTTCTTCTATGCCGGGGGCAAAATGATGGTTCTCTGCGATGCATTAGTTGTTTTTCCCTCCATTCAGCTCTTGCCATAATGTTTCATTCGAAAGTGAGACAGCATTTTGGTTGTGACAGAGTGCTGTCTCTCTAAAGCATGTTTTAACGAGGACCAAGGGTCCAATCTGCGGTTTGGCATGCGAAACTAGCCCTTGGATTCAGCTGAGGGAATTTTTATTTATTTATTCCGATGCCATTGCTGTGAGACTAAAAGGAGTTGCTTGTGAAAACCACAAGTCATCTTTTATTCTGAAAAATTGTCACCTCTTTTTTGGTCTCTATGTGGTCCGCACTCGGAATGAATGAGTCTGACAGCCAATGTAAGTGGTTTTGGTTTGTGTCGAGGGTTTGAAAGCTTTCTCGGTTATTCTTGACAGCCTTGTAAAAACGTTGTCTTTTCCGTTGCACTTTCAGACCGACTGTTACATGCATACAGAGCACGCACTTCTTTCTTCTCTGCAGTTCTTAATGAAAGTTGGGCTACTAATAATTTCTGTGTGATTTTTTTTTTTACACTCAGTAAATTTTGTAAGGAAAAATTACCAAGAAATGGCAAGTAACATTGAATTAAGCATTGTCATGTAAAATAATTGTTTTATTTACAGCTTAGATATGTTTTAGGGAGTCTCACTGCAGCACCAGAATGCAATTGAACGCTGTCATCAAATATTGAACATAAAAGTTTTAGACGGTTGCGTGTGGTTAGTTCTAGGCTGAAGATAAATGCGTCTCTATAGCACGCATTGTGTATTATCGTGCAATTCTTACACGAAAATGAGTTGCAGTTTTCGAGTGCATTTGATACGCAGTTCATTTACGTGTAATACACACGCACCCCACATCACTACTAAACCTACCCCAACCCATCCTGTTCACGTAAAAACTAATTTTCGCGTATAAATTGCACGACGCTGCGTGCTATAGAGACGCATTTAGTGTGATCGGGTGGTTACTAACGTTTCCCCTGTTCATTTGTTTTTAATTCACGTTGCACTTTATATGTCCTGGATTCAGTGTGCGGCCGGCCACCTTCTTGCTCGTTTTGTGCTCCTGTGTTGTTGTTGTTGTGTGTGCATGTAATAATATTGCTGTGTCCATCTCCTCTCGTTCAAGGTTATGAGGCCCCTCATCTCACGCCGTCCCCAGCTCGAGGTTGCCACGGCAACGACCCAGCATCCGGCTCAGGGTCGCGGTGGAAGCTCTCGGACAAATGACAGCGCATTTGAAAGCCACAGGATCTCCCCTCGGTGTAGTAAAATACGGAGTCAATAAGTTCATAATTCAGTCAATAATTGTCAATAAGTTCTGAGAAGGAGCGAAGCAGCTGGACTGTGACTGTGCCTTTAGCACTGAAGTGTAAGTAAAAACACCCTCTGATTCACTCCAAAATGTTCCCTCTCGTCGTTTTGCTATGGCGTCTGACGTCTCTTGCGACGGCGGCCCAAACCAACGAGAGGCGCGTCGTCGCCCACATCCCCGGCGACGTCATCATCGGAGCGCTTTTCTCGGTGCACCACCAGCCACCGGCCGACAAAGTGCACGAGCGCAAATGCGGGGCGGTTCGCGAGCAGTACGGCATCCAGCGGGTCGAGGCCATGATGCACACCCTGGACCGGATCAACGCCGACCCCAAAATCCTCCCCAACGTCACGCTGGGCTGCGAGATCCGGGACTCCTGCTGGCACTCCGCCGTGGCCCTGGAGCAAAGCATCGAGTTCATACGCGACTCGCTCGTGGCCGCGGACGAAAGCGAAGAGGCCGGGGGCGGGACCAGGTGCGCGGATCCGAGCGCCACGCCCATGAAGGGGAAGAAGCCAATCGTGGGGCTAATTGGACCGGGATCCAGTTCGGTGGCCATTCAAGTGCAAAACTTACTGCAGCTGTTCAACATCCCGCAGATCGCGTACTCCGCCACCAGTATGGACCTCAGCGACAAATCACTCTACAAGTACTTCATGAGGGTCGTGCCTTCGGACGCCCAGCAGGCCAGAGCCATGGTGGACATAGTCAAGAGATACAACTGGACCTACGTATCTGCCATACACACCGAGGGTGAGTGCACATATCTATCTTTTATAATCAGTAATGGATTCAGAATCATCAACTGGACCTACGTATCTGCCATACACACCGAGGGTGAGTGCACATATCTATCTTTTATAATCAGTAATGGATTCAGAATCATTCGGCTTAAACGTTGGAATCATTTTGACCGGTTCATTAGAAGAATCAGATCATAAAGTTGCCCTGGCTGTTGTCAATAATTTGATCCCTTAAAACTCCTCTTTGATCCCCAAAATTAAGTTACATATTTAAAAGTTTTTTCCTTGAATTTTTTTTTGTAATGCTTAATATCTTGAATGTAACTCTACACCCTTGCCTCATTTAGAATACTTAGCCCCGCCTCTACTCACTTTCTCAGCTCAGCGATCCACTCGCTGATCTGATTGGTTAAAGTAGTTTGTGACGTCAGAAACACCAGCGATTTAAACCTTCTGTCTTTGGTTCACTGCAGTTTTAAGGAGGAAATACTCAGCAATGCTGTCGACTTATGAGTTTGCACATGGTTTCTATTAAAGTGTATTAAAAACACTACATAGGAATATTAACAACATTAAAAGCTTGATTTTCACCACAGAGGAATTATAATAGTCTTTCTTTCTGAATTGGATACAATGACTAATTTATTGGACTTTCTGACCGATTCAATACAAGAATAGCTTCATAAGAGTCTTTGTTTGTGAAGTGGATTCAATGAATAATTCAGTAGAATGATTCAACTTGTCAGTCTTTTTGACCAATTCATTATAAGAAGTAGGTAAGAAGTGTTATTTTTTTGTGAATATGAGTTAGTGAGTAATTCATTCGGCTAACTCAACTTGTGAGTCTTTTTGATCAATTCATCAGAGGAATCGGATCATAAGAGTAATTTGTTTGTGAAGTGGATTCAGAGACCAATTCATTGAACTGATTCAACTTGTGAGTCTTCCTGACTGATTCATTACAAGAATAGGATCATAAGAGTCGATCTTTCTAAATCATTAGACTCATTCAAGTTGTGAGTCTTTTTGACCAGTTCCATTACAGGAATCAGATCATAATATTCTTGTTTGTGAAGTGAATTGAATGACTAAGCCTACTTATTTTGAATAAGTACTTCCCCAATTCATTCGAATGATTCAGCTTGTGAAACTGTTTGAGCAATTCGTTACAAGAAGTGGAACATACTGTAAAAGTCACAGAGGAATTAGCGAATAATTTATTAGACTCATTCAACTTGTGATTCCTTTTGATCAGTTCATTGGAGGAATCGGATCAGAATATTAATTCGTTTGAGAATTGGATTCAGCTCATCTGACTGATTCTTTTCTGCCTGTCCTGGTCACGCTGTTCGTTAGACATGTCTCCTGAAAGACATGCAATGGTTGTCTATTGCATTGTGTCGCAGTATAGTGATGTTTGTATCTCATCACATTCAATTCAGACTGCAAACTCTCAACTCTGTCAAAACGTGGTTTATATTGCCATGCCGGCTTTATCCTGCATCAGTGCAGTGCTGACACACACACACACGTGCATGGTGTCTGTTTCAGAAGTGTCATCTGAATTGTGTCAGTGTGGGCTCTTTAGTGTCCGATGGGAATTGTGTGTTAAGATGTCTGAGAAGGAGTGTGTGTGTGGATGTGTGTAAAGAGAACGAACGGCTCTTGAAAGTGTGAAATGGACCGGCTACATTCACACTGTCATTTCTCAGGATTGAAAACTGTGTTTATGTGTGTGTGTGTAATATGAGCGTGCAGCGAGACTCAAGCCTGTGTTCTCAGTGTCCCAGGAATCGATACGACTGACCAAAGCAATATCAAGGACGGCAATGAAACTGAAAGTCTTATCACTTTTGGCCAGACCAGCGTCCAGTCGAGCCAGAGGTGTTCATCTGTCAAAACTTCATTAACCGAAAGCATGCCTGACTTTTATATCTTTATATGGAGAGCAGAGTGTTTGAGCCTCTGATGTGTGTGTGTGTGTGTGAGTGAAGTACAGCACTGACGACCGGATCCTATCGTCTGCTGTCTGTGATGTCACTCTGGATTAGAGACTGTGTGTTCTTGTGATGTCATCAGTCAATCAGAGTTGTCCAGATGATGTCGTTTTCACATGACGTTTACAGCTCATGTGACAAGTCCTGCACCAGTCGAGCAACTGCTATGGAGATGAATGGGTGAGGTTTTGTAGTTAAAATGATTTTTGTTGTTGTTTCATTTAGTATCAGGTCATTTAGGCTACTTACCTTTTCTTCTTGTTCTTTTTTTTTTTTTTTTTTTTTTACAGTTTAACATTTTAAGGAAATGTTTTTTTTTAAGGAAATGTTTTCAATCTCATTTGTAGTAATATCTCGACTCTGTTCTTCTAATGATCCAGCCTTATGGCTCTGTTCTCACATCTCATATGTTTCTTTTCCTCTGTCACTCTCACACACACATACACACACACACACACACATGCACACATGTACTTCCATACCTCACTCCACTCTCTCTCCTTTTATCCCACTGTACCCCCCCCCCCCCCTACATCCACAAATGATCTATATGACTCCAGAGGCTTGTTTGTGTGTGTGTGTGAGGCAGTGTGTACAGGTTTATATTACATTATGATGACCAAATGTCCCTCAAGGATAGTATAACCTGAGATCTCCTTCATTGTGGGGGTCAGACAGTGGCAATGGCGTAATACACATTCTAAATTATGTTTTTATTTACTTATTTATTTATTTTATTTATTTTTTTAAATCTAGAAATGCAAAAAAGGGTTGTGTTATGGGTAGGTTTAGGGGTCGGGTTAGTGTGTGTGTGTGTGTGTGTGTGTGATGTGTAGGTTTAGTGGTAGAGTTAGTGTAAGGGGATAGAAGGTATAGTTTGTACAGTATAAAAATATTATGTCTATAAGAGTCCCCACAAAGATATCCCAAAAACTATGTGTGTGTGTGTAGTTCAGGGTTGTAAGCACTTTTACAGTCTGGTCCCCAAAGTGGAGGACCTGGAATGTGTCCCGTGTTTAATTAAGATGGCAGAGAGTGTAAATCTCTCTCTCTCTCTCTCTCTCTCTCTCTCTCTCTCTCTCTCTCTCTCTCTCTCTCTCTCTCTCTCTCTCTCTCTCTCTCTCTCTCTCTCTCTCTGTCTCACACACACACATACAGGGGTTGGACAATGAAAGTGAAACACTGGCCAATGTTGGAGGTTTCACATCTATATGCCTGGCGGCCAATCTTCAGAGTGAAGCACGGGTGGATCAGTGATGGTTTGAGCTCCAATATCATGACAATCCTGATTGTATTTGATGGACACGACACTGCCGAGGACTACCAAACCCTTCTGGAGGATCATGAGCACCTGATGTTCATGATCATGCACCAACACACACAGCAAGACTTGTGACCGAAGGGTTTGATGAAGATGAAAGTGACGTTGAACATCTCCCATGGTCTGCACAGTCACCAGATCTGAATATTATTGAGGTGTTTTGGAGGAGCGAGTCCACCAGCATCATATAGTGACCTGGACACTGTTCTGGAAGAGGAACGGCTCATAATCCCTCTGGTCACTGTGAAGGACTTCTATCTGGCATTCCCAAGATGAATTGGTGTTATATTTGGATGCAAAATGAGGCCCTCACCATACTAAGAAATGATTGTGTTGTAAAACCAGGTGTTTCAGTTTCATTGTCCAACCCCTGTAAAGAGAGAGCAGAGAAAAGAACGTGTTGTTCACCTCAAGATACTTGTTAATGACCAGACAAAACAAAGACTCACAGACTGAGTCATGCTGTAACAGATCAAGATTGTATATATATTTTTTAAGTTGTGTGTATGTGTGTGTGTGTGTGTGTGTATACTTTGCGCTGTATGTTCTTTGCGAGCGTCAACGTAAAACCTTTGCGCGAGAACGCAACAGCATTGAAATATTCTTTTCCTCCCATCTCATATTTTTTCCATCACACTGTCCCTTTAGGGGCTCCGTATAAAACTGTAATAAACTGTAATATTATCATAATTTATACATTAAATAATGTCATTTATTCCAGTGATCAAAGCTGAATTTCCAGCATCATTACTCCAGTCTTCTCTTCAGTCACATGATCCTTCAGAAATCACTCTAATATGATGATTTGATGCTCAAGAATTATTATAAGTGTTGAACACAGTTATGCTGCTTCATATTTTTATGAAGATATATTTTATTGTTCAATGATTAGAAACTTTTAAGTAATGTTTTTTACTGTCACTTTACTTTTCATTTCAGGATGAATTATCTCTCGATCTGTTCCAAACCTGTGTAACTTTATTTTTTCACAAAACAAGGCATTTAGAATAATGTTCACGCTGCTCAGTGTAAATCAAAAGCACCATAAAGTCCATATTTCTTGTGCACAATATTCCAAGTCGCAGTAGTTCAGTAGTTAATAGAGTTCACTTAGAATTGTCATTTGTGCAATTTGAATATGCGCATATTTAAATTGAGCACAGTTTGATCTGTTATGAGACGCCAATGATGACGTAGTGTGTCATGCTATTGCCAGACTCCAGCAAAGCATGCTGGGAAAATGCACACAGTAGTCATGGGAAATGAAGCCATTGTGTTCGTAATCAGCATTCAGAATGTGTGTGTGTGTGTCTCAAAATCTGGTGGATTGTAACCTTCACTTAAGATCTCAAGGACTTCATCTCTCTTCCCACGCTTGCATCCGTCCCTCTCTGTCTGCGTCTCATTGGTTCTCTCTCTTCTCCTCTCAGGAAGAAGCAGCTGTGGAGAGAGTGATTGAAGGATGGAAGAGAGATTAGTTTAACTAAATTGGGTGGAATTTAAAAGCAGAAAAAGTGGCATGAGAGTGAGAGATTGGAGGAAAGTGAGTGAGAGAGACGGAGAGAAAGCCAAATAGTGTGATTAGGAGAATGATGGAAAAGAGAAATAGGATCAGTTCAGTTCGAGGAGCTCATCAAACACATGCTCTCAAAACGATAGTTCACCCAAAAAAATGTTCTCAGGGGAATTTTA